TGGAGGGGAAGTTGAGCTTTTACTGATTCTTTCCTAACTTGCCTTTCCTCCCCAGGGTCAGGATAAATGAAGTAAAGTTGTGCACTGGAAAGTGACAGAGATAGGTTAAGATACCTTAGTGGGCAATTTCATCATTGTGTGAGCGTATACACACAAAATAAGACAACACCAAAGACATCACCAGATGATACAGAATTACACATACTATCTTGAGAGACCACTGTCATCTATGTGGCCCATTATTGACCAAAATGGAATTATAATGTGTCTGAGTGTACTCTGCTTTAAAGCCCCCCCCCCCTCCAGGAGGCCAGACCATGTTTTGCAAACAGACAATACAGTAAGCATACAGTACAGCCTGTAATGGGTGGATGAAAGAGTTTTTGTACTCTGCTTTAAAGGCCCCCCCCCCCTCCAGGAGGCCAGACCATGTTTTGCAAACAGACAATACAGTAAGCATACAGTACAGCCTGTAATGGGTGGATGAAACAGTTTTTATGCACTTCTTTCTTATCAGGAGAGAAATGTCTAAAATAATACAACTTGGTAGATGACATGAAATAGAATTTCTGAACTGTGGTGGCCCTAGTGGCAGCTGTAAAGATCATGACCTTCACCCTTACACCCTAGCAGGCTCTGCTCATAGCTATGGCATTCCCATTATACAACAGCTGCCTTGGCTGTTTTTTTAAGATTTATTTTTATTTTTAATTATATGTATGTGTGTATCTGTGTATGGGTATATGCACATGTGTGCAGGTGCCCATGAAGGCCAGAAGAGGGTGTCAGATCCCCTGGGGCTGGAGTTTCAGGCATGCCTGAGTCACCTGACATGGGAGCTGGGAACTGAACTCAGGTTCTTTGTGGGCTTAACTCCTGAACTGTTTCTCCTCAACAGCTGCCTTGGAATGGAAATCTGGAAGGACAGCCGACTGAAAAGTCAAACAGCTGCCTATTGAAAGTTCAATACCTCAGAAAATATTACATGCTTCCCTTCTTCCTGCCCTTCAACAAAGAAACATGGGGTTTAAACATAGAGTCTCATTTCTTTTCTCCATGAAGACTGGGGGTTAATTTTTAGCATGGCGCCTTGGGACTTAGCTGTGGGACTTTCATTACCCATAATGGGAGTCATGTCGCCTCCCTTCATGCATAGTATATGGAAAATGCACCCCTTGATAGCTACAAAATTTTGTTTCGAAATCTGGGCTGTCTTTCTCAGCACAAAACGGATTTCCAGAAACACCAAAAGCTATTCAGTGTTGGCTTGAGTTTCTCTCTCTCTCTCTCTCTCTCTCTCTCTCTCTCTCTCTCTCTGTAAGGGAGAAAATTCTTTTTCCTAAGTGTGTACACCCCCTCTCCAGGACAGCAACATTAAAACATCACACTCTATAGTTGACAGCAGTAATTGTTGTGCTTCACCCCAAAGCTTCATTGAGAACCCCATAAAATCTGGCACATGGTTTGTGACACCCAATGAAACACTGCACTGTTCCATAATAACCTGAGCCCTGCTGCCTGTCATTAAGGGACCTCTCTTATTAAGCATCTCTTTTTTAAATGGCTGCCATCATCTGGTCCCAGTGTACATTAAATCCCATTATAATTATAAACACACTTCCCCATAACATCCCTTGCAGATCTCATCCACACTACCTACCCCCTCAGGGCATCTTTGCACTAATAACAACTCAGATTTGCTATTTGAGTTGACAACATTAGATCCCAATACCACTTGCAATATGCTGGGGAGAGAGGGGAAGAAAATACTTTCTTGTCCTCAGTCATAAAGATCTTGGGGTCACAGTGACCCAATGCCTCTGGGGCTGAAGAAAAATCTGAAAGTTACTCCTCAGCCAGATACAGTGGTTGGCAGAGGTTGGAGAACCATGAGTTTGAGACCAGCCTGGGCTATATAATGAGTTCCAAGGCAAACTGGGCTATATAGTCAGACCCTGTTTCAAGTAAGCAAGCAAGTAAACAGTTACTCTCTGCCTCGTAGATGCCAGGAAGGGCATCCTTAGTATCTAGACAAGAAACCCAAATCAGCCTCCATTGCTCAGTGCTTCACGGTGGAAAAGGGTTGATGGAAATTACTCATCTAAGTAGCCATCATCTGATTGGGTTTTCTGAGTCCTGGGTACCAGAACATTCATGTCACCTCACTGCCTTGCCCTCTGCTTATTTGGAGGGGCATCTCAGGAAGTGATGTAAAGAAATGAAATATTTTAGTTATTGGCTTTTGTTTATTTTGTGGTACTAGAGACTGAACCCAGGGCCCTGTGGATACTAGGCAAGCATTCTAGCACTGAACTACATTCCCAATCCAAGAATTACATTAAAAACAAAACAAAACAAAGTGTCAACATGTATAGGAATAAATTATACTTGGCTTTAATTTGTAAGACTAAGTCTCATGTGGCCTAGGCTAGTTTCCTACACTATGTAGCCTAGGATGAACTTCTGTTCTTCTTGCTTGCATTTTTAGAGTACAGGCAATGTATGTGTGACACACCCAGTTTGTGCTGTGCTGGGGATCAAATCCAGGGCTTAGTGCATGCTAGGCAAATGCTGTACCAACTGAGTTATATCACCAGCCCAAAGAGTTGGACTTTCCATTCATATGTAAGCAAAATACTCAAAACACTTGATTGCCTAGTTGATGTATTATTGTCTTTCAAGATTCTCTCTTCAATTTCTCCCAGAGATTCTAGGGAAGGAAAGTACAGAGATCCCGGGGAACATCTTGGTCGGTGGCAAACTCAGAGACACCTGGTCCTCAGCTTGGTGGTCTGTTGCCTAACCCTGTCTTCACAGAGAAACAAATGGGAAATGCTTGTTTTTTGATACCTCTCGGTAGAGGCTGCCAAATCTACACGTGTAGGGCTTGAGGTGTACAGTCACGTGTTGCCATTCAAAGCATCATCTCTAATGCTAACCGATCAGCCGTCTTGGCTAAGGCACTTTACTTCTCTGGGCCTCACCTTTCTTATCCACAGAAATGGGGCCGATCATAGAACTGCTTCAACAGAGTTGTTGGGAAGATTAAATAAAACAAGACAGATAATGTGTTAAGATTCATGGGGAGTGCCTTGAATGAATTGTTCTTCCCACAGCCTGTCTCTGCCCTGGATGATCCCTCAGACCAGAAATACTCTCCTCTGCTGAGCTCGGAGAGGCTGCCTGGCTGGGAGGTATGTAGGGAGAGAAGAAAATAAGGAGATTTAGCAGTGGAATTCCACCCCCAAGTTAGCTTCTCTCTGTCTCTCCTTTGAGCAGGGCCTCCTCCTAAGATAAAAGGTTGGAACTCATTATATAGACCAGGCTGGCCTTGAACTCATAGAGATCTGCCTGACTGAGTGCTGAGATTAAAGAAGTATGTCATCATGCCAGGCGGCCTCTTGTATTTTAAGAAGGCTGATACTCCAATTTCCTTTACCATACCTGTCAAGATGAAAAACCCAAAACGAGAGAGAGAGAGAGAGAGAGAGAGAGAGAGAGAGAGAGAGAGATTGCTTCTATGATTTTTTCCCACTCCGCTTGATTTTAGGTGCTGTCATATGAGATCTCTGAACTGGGAACTCTCACCAGCATTCCAGGACCCAAGGACATAGCTCTGGCTATAAATGGTGCCAGTTTTGGTAGGGAAGCTGCTGCTACTGCTTTATCTGGGCCCAATAAACCTTATCAAACTGCTGTGCAGCCAGCCTTCAGCGCTAAGTAGAAATGCAGGGAGCCCAGTGCTGGCGCTCAGCCCACAGCCTCTCCTGCCTTCTCCCTTTTTTTTTACCTTCTCCACCTCTTAAATTCAGGCATTAATCTCTCTTTAACACTTACTAACAAGGGCTGGGCTTTTTAATGGGCAGAGTTTATGAAGCAAAGGAGATTTTCACATCCAATGAATATGGTGTGGGGGTGGGGAGAGGCCAGAGGCAGGCAGGAATTGTTGTGTCTATCTCATGTACACAGATTCTCTCTTTCTCTGATTTAAGGATTAATGGGAGATTAGGATCAGCGGTTAATTGTGTGCTTCTCTTGTAACTGCTGAGGAGAGGCTGGTAGGTGGATGGAGACCCAAGTCTGCAGTCTCCAGCAACCCCCCTTTAGGCAGAAACTCAACAAGTACAGAGAGTCCTCTTCCACTGGCATTTACCGGGAGTCTCCCCTGTTCCAGTTACATCCACCCACTCTTGCTTTCTTTACAGGCTAGTGTTCTTAACTTTCCTGAACTCCCTTTTGACCTACAGAGGGTTGACCTTAGCTGGAAAAATCGGTAGCTTCTAAACAGGGATTGCTTTTTTTGTTCACCAAATGGCTGCAAGGTGATGCCCCCTGTCTCAAGCATCTAATGTCTGCTAGTAGAGGATAACCAGATTACTGATTTCTTTCTTTACTTCCAATGCACCCCCTCGGCTTGGCTGACTTCTCCCCAGCACTACCAGTCAGAGCACTTTCCCAGCCGCAGGGAACTGGAGTATCCCTTGGAATGGTTTGTCCTTGGGACCACCTCATCAGCAGCTCTGTGCACCTTGCAGACCTTACTGCTAACTTTACTGCCCGATCTTCCTGGGTTTTTGCCTCCATTCACCTCTTGCCCCTTCCTGGCCCTCTAGCTCTGGTTGTGATTTTGTGAGTCCCATGAGGGGGGGAGGTGGTCGGTGGCCTCCTGCCTATTACGGGGCACAGCTTTCCAGAGTGAAGCCTGATTGAAACTATTTAGATCTGTGACCTAGGGTGGAGCTGGGTGGGTGACTTTTCTGAGACCCCTGGGTGGCGCTCTCCGCCACACCCTGGCATCAAGGCCATGGAACTTTTTCTGGAGGAGGCCAGGACTGGGAAGAGAAGAGCCACTTCTGGTCCCCCACCTTCGCGCAGCTTGGTGGGAAAGCGGAGAAAGGGAGTTTCTCGCTGTCTGAGGAAAGACACACGTTTCTTTGGTCCCTGTACTCTATTATTTCAACACTACCTTTAAAGTGGGGCTATTTGAGCCGACCCAGCGCTGTTCTGAGCTTTCATCCCTCTGGAAGGCTTCACTGAAATAGGTGTAGGTTCCCCGGAACTCTTTCCATCCTGGTAGCTGGGGCTCAGGGTGCACGGTGTGTGTGTGGTGGGGGGCAGTGGAGAAGAAGGGGGCAGGGAGTGTCCAAGACTGTGAGGAAGAAAGTTTTCCTCAGGCCTTGACCTCAGCCTCCAGCGGTCGCGATAGCTAAAATGAGGTGCAGCCCTTCAGGCGTCTGACTGTCCAAAGCCGGTTCACTCGCAGGCTGACACCCGCGATCGAGGAGGCGTAGGAGGCTGCGTTTGGAGCTCCGAAAGCAATCCACTTAAAACCAGCGTCGAGGTAGGGAGGGATGCAAGCCCGAGTCCCGGGAAAAGTGAAAGGAGATGCCACTCACTGAACTGAGGCAAATACTGGAGAACTGGACAGAACTCCTCTCTTGAGCACCGAAGTGGGGGCGCGGGGTACGTCCCAGGCGCAGTGGAAATGAAAAACGTGGGGTGAAGGTGGCAACTGCTCCCCGGCCCTCATCCTCTCGCTCCCCACTGAGGGCTTCGAGTCCGCAGCGCTTCCTCTTCCCTTGCAACCTTCTGCCCTCTCCGCCTAGCCGGCGAGCGACGGCCGCTGGCGCCCGGGCAGCAGCTAGATGTCAGGCGAAGCCCGGAGCGCCGAGCGCTGGGAAGGGTTTTTTCCGAGGCCGGCGGGGGGAGGGGAGGGGGCAGCTGTGGGCAGGGAGCCGGGCTCGGCCGCCAGCACTAAAGATGGAGAGGCGCCCGGGCCTCGCAGGGGAGGGGGCTCTGCATTGACGTGGGACGCGGCGGAGGCGCCGCTGCCGGTGGTGATTTGCTAACCTCGCGGCACAGAGGAGTTAAGGGTGATGAGAGCGGGTACTGCGAACTGCCGGGCGATGCCGCCGCTGCAGCCGTGAGATCGCGAGCAACAGTTCCCCAGCAACACCCCTTCCTCGATCCCGGTGCACACACCCCCCACACACGGGCACGCACACCCACTCCAAGCTCCAGGCTCGGCGGCTGGCGGTGAGTGGAGAGTAGGGAACCCGGGAGGAACACGCACCGCCCAGCGATCGCCTCCCGCCAGGGCGCCCAGGGGCTGGAGAGGTCTCAGGCGGGTGGCGCTGGCTCCGGCCATTCGGCCGCTGGTCTCGTGCTGGGCTCCCCAGCTGCTGCTGCTTTAGCGATCGCCCGCGCCGGTTGTGGGGTCAGCTAGAAGCGCGGGCCGAGGCTGTCAGCTTGGGCGCAGCTGCCTCCCCAGCCTTCCTCCTCCAGGCACAGTCGGGGTGAGAGGTGGCAGGCAGGGCGGTCTGCCCCGGCTGCCTGCGCGTGGGGAGAGGGTCTGGGTTTGGGTGGCTTTGTACAGCCTAGGGCCGGCGGAGGAGCCGGTGGGTGCTCATATGTATGCGGACCGGTGCGCGGGCGTGAGATAGGATTGTGCTTTATTTATTTGTGTTTATTCGCTGGCCCGCTGGGAAGCTGGAGCCGGAGGAGCGGAAGAGTGGATCTAGTGGGGGAGAAGGGGAGCGGGGCTGGGACCCGCTTGGGTTTTGTTTCTTTTAGAGAAAACGTGGTGGGCTGCCCCCACCGCCCCCGGATTAGACTTAGTCCTCCTTTTTTGAGGGGTGAGAGGGGGGAGCTCCAGAGGCTCGGGCGCTCCGGGTCCTCCTCGGCTCTCAGTGGGAGCAGCCGTGGCGCGGGAGCTCGCTGTGCGCTCCCGGCCGCGTTCGGTGGGTTCCCGGGCTCTGCACCTGATGCGTTCGGGATGTCTTTCCCACCTTGGCGCACCCAGCCGCTCGCACACTCCCGCACGCGCTTGCAACGCGCAGGATCGTGCGGGCCTGTGGACTCCGGAATGCACAGACGCGCTCCGCAGTCACCGGTTCGCCGCCTCCCCGCCACTCTCGCAGCGTGCCTGGCTCCGGCAAGGCGGCAGAGGGTGCGGGAGGCCCGGGACCCTGTCCGTGGTTTTCTGGGGGTCACGCTCCTGGGTCGGAGAGGAAGGGCCAGGAGATTGCCTGCTCTCTTTTCCTCCCGGGACTCGCTACAGGGCTTTTGTGCTTCCCGGTTCCCGGCGGCCGGTCCTCCTCCCGGCCGCCCTCGCAGTGGCGTCCAGCCGGCCTGGACTAGCCTTTGCCCCGTCTCTTTCGCTTTCCTTCTTTCCCCAGCTCGATTCCCTTCCTCCAGGCGTTTGACTCCCGGGGAAAAGTTGCTTTCCCAAGTTTGCCGAAGTCCTCTCCAAGTCTCGGCGGGGGTCGCTGGGAAGCTAGGGTGTGTGAGAGAGCTATTGATCCTTGAAGTTCCGGCGGGTTAGCGCCGGCTTTGCCCAGTGCTGTCTGGCTGATCGCTGCAAGCCAGCTCCGGCCGATTCCAGGCCGAGCGGTGGTTGGCGGAGAGGGCACCTTGATTTGCCTCAAGACCCAGAAGACTCGAATGGGGTTAGGAATTTGGGTAGCGAGCCTTCATTCTTTTGCAACTCTGATCTTTGCAGAAAACACACGGTGGTGAAGCTGCTGATGAAGGGGTGTCTCACCCTTTATACCCTCCGTTTCTACTTCGGAGTGGGCAGCAAGAGTGGCCAGCCAGTACTCTTAACCCTTTCTACGAGTTTTGTGCCTAGGAGCTCCCAGGACGCCTTTTGAAGGTGGAGGCAAGCTCTGTGAAGAAACCTGGCTCTCTCCACCCTGCACCCAGGTCATTGGCTGGGTGTGATGTTGGCTAGGCAAAGCCTGGGACCTGGGCCCGTTGGATCTTTCTGTCAACATCCTAAAAGGCGTTCAGAGTCAGGAAGCCTCTTAGTGATCTAGAATAGGCTCTGGGAGAGAGGCCCTTGTTATCCAGCCCTGTCTTCTCCCCTTATTCCGGTCTTAACTCACACCAAAGATGCTGGTGTCAGTGTCATTTTTAGAGCCATATCTAGCATCAGTTGCTGCTCCTTGTCACTGGGTTTGCCAACTCCTGGGAGACTGTGGGACAAACTGGAGTCCATGTCCAGCCTAGCACAAGCACTCCAGCTCCTGGGGAGCCGACATCCTATGATAACTATCTGCCCTCTCATTTGAGAGCTTTCGTCTAGTGGGCACTTTGTGGGCAGGGAGAAGATTGCAACATCACATCTAAATGTATGCAGGTGTGTTCCCACTCTTTGGCTGACACACACACACACATGCACGCACGCACGCACGCACAGATTTTGTATGTATGCAAGAACTTTGAAGAACTTGTGGGTAGGAACAACCCAAGTAAGAATGTGAGGTGTGTGTGTGTGTGTGTGTGTGTGTGTGTGTGTGTTCCTGTTACTGCCCAAGAATAGGTCTCTGACTATATATAGAGTGGACAGAGGCCAGGGAGGGCACTGGCTGATGAGAGAAAGCAGGATGAGGGGAGGACAGACCATTGCTCATGGCACCACCCCAGCTAGCAGCTCCAGCTGGATTTGACTTGACTTCTAAGGCCACCACAGTGAGGCAGAGTTAGAAAAACTTTGTTTTGAAGATGAGGGTGACCATAGAGGGGATTGATAATGAAGCCAGCTGAGTACTTAAGTGACTTTAGGAAGGGGTTAAAGCCTTGTTACTTAAGTGCATGAGCCTTGGAATAATGCTGATCTTGCATAGGAACCCCCCTATGTTCAGGCTTAAAGAACACCCAGGACTCACTGTACTTTTCAATTTGCTCCACCCAGCAGATGTCACAGAGAGGTGAATTAGGCATAGGCAGTGGTAGAAACTTCTCTTTACTCTCAGCATTGCTGGGCTTGCTGTGAACACTGTTTTGTGAATTTCTAGGAAACCTAAGCCCCGTCCATTAAAATCCTTAAGAACCTCTTTCTGGAAGCTTGCTGGAATGGATGCATACTGCAGTGTTTGAATTCTTGATTTTAGGGACACTAGTGAATCTGCCACTTGCTCATCTCTTTTGCCTCTTCTCTTCTTTCCCCCTGTAGCCCCCTCCATTGGCCGAGGAAGCCTACCCTGCCCCACCACGCAGAGCAGAGAAGGAAAGAGAGCCCCATGCCTGAGCCCAGGGGAGCACTATGGATCTGACAAAGATGGGCATGATCCAGCTGCAGAACCCCAGCCACCCCACGGGGCTGCTGTGCAAGGCCAATCAGATGAGACTGGCTGGGACTTTGTGTGATGTGGTCATCATGGTGGACAGCCAGGAGTTCCATGCTCACCGGACTGTGCTGGCCTGCACCAGTAAGATGTTTGAGATCCTCTTCCATCGAAACAGCCAGCATTATACCCTGGACTTCCTTTCACCAAAGACCTTCCAGCAGATTTTGGAGTATGCGTACACGGCCACGCTGCAAGCCAAGGCAGAGGATCTGGACGACCTACTGTATGCAGCTGAGATCCTGGAGATCGAGTACCTGGAGGAGCAGTGCCTGAAGATCCTGGAGACCATCCAGGCCTCCGATGACAATGACACAGAGGCCACCATGGCTGATGGTGGGGCCGAGGAAGAAGAGGACCGCAAGGCTCGGTACCTTAAAAACATCTTCATCTCAAAGCATTCCAGCGAGGAGAGTGGGTATGCCAGTGTGGCTGGACAGAGCCTCCCCGGTCCCATGGTAGACCAGAGCCCTTCTGTTTCCACCTCTTTCGGTCTTTCAGCCATGAGTCCTACCAAGGCTGCAGTGGACAGTTTGATGACCATAGGACAATCTCTCCTGCAGGGAACCCTTCAGCCACCTGCAGGGCCTGAGGAGCCCACATTGGCAGGTTGTGGGCGGCACCCTGGGGTGACTGAGGTGAAGACCGAGATGATGCAGGTAGATGAAGTACCCAGCCAGGACAGTCCTGGGGCAGCTGAGTCCAGCATCTCAGGAGGGATTGGGGACAAGGTTGAGGAGAGGAGCAAAGAGGGGCCTGGGACTCCCACTCGAAGCAGTGTCATCACCAGTGCCAGGGAGCTGCACTATGGGCGAGAGGAAAGCGCTGAGCAGTTGTCACCTCCTGCTGAAGGTGGCCAGGGCCCCCCTGGACGACAGGAGCCCCTAGCACCCCCAGTGGAGAAGCATTTAGGCATCTACTCCGTGTTACCCAACCACAAGGCTGATGCTGTGTTGAGCATGCCGTCTTCGGTGACCTCTGGCCTCCACGTGCAACCTGCCCTTGCTGTCTCCATGGACTTCAGCACCTATGGGGGCCTGCTCCCTCAGGGCTTCATTCAGAGAGAGCTGTTCAGCAAGCTGGGCGAGCTGGCTGTGGGCATGAAGGCCGAGAGCCGGCCCCTCGGGGAGCAGTGCAGTGTGTGTGGGGTGGAGCTTCCAGATAATGAGGCTGTGGAGCAGCACAGGTAGGCTCCTGCCCTAGCCCTGCACTTGTGCTGGTCTTCTGGCCCCAACAACTGTTCTTTATACCTGGCCCATCCTGAATGTGGGGGCCTGACTCCTTTGTGCTACTTGATAATAAAAGTCTTTCTAATACCCAGGGATAGGAGGGCACAGGTTTTTCAGAGCATGAGGGAAAATGGGGTCTATCCTAAACATTAGTGATTCATGGGCCCATCTTCTAGGCTCTTCTCTCTTTATGCTTTTGGGCTTTCATTTGGTTTTCTTATGGTTTGTTTTATGCTTTTGTTTTTCCTAGAGTGACTGACTGTTTAATAAAGTGGAAGGAAAGAGGGGAGAAAGTGGAGTTCAGGCTGAGGGACTCCTGTGGCCAGGATCTAGTCATGTTACAGACTTCAGCTGTTCCCACTTCCCACTGGTCATAGTTCCTATGATAATAGGCTGGTGTCTACAGCTTAGGGCAGTGGCATGGGCTAGATGCTGCTTAGGTCCGGAGCGCATCAACAGTCTTAAACATCTGTTTCAGCAGACACATTGGGGTGGGAGTGGGGGTGCTTGAGTTAAATTCAAGGACGGGAAGATGAATCTGAGAGCCTTGGTCTTAAAGCCTTATGGTCTCCTTCTTATACCATTTCTGTTCACATCGAAGTGAGTGTCCTTTTTGGGCTAGCCTTGGCTGCCCTCTGGCTATTCTAGCTCCTTCTCTGCAAAATAACCTCTCTTTGAGACCTTGTGACCTGTGTGGTTCAGGACCGGTGCTTTACCTGGAGTTGCATATTTGTTACAACAGCCCCATGAGGTAGGTAGTGTTCTTTGACATAGGATGCTAAGATTCAGAGGCAAAGTCTCTTTTCCAGGGTCATGCAGATAGTAAGAGGCAGATAGATTCAAACTAAGATGACTTAACTTCTTGTGCTTTGTGGCCCCTTGGAGTCAACCAGTGTAGAAGAGGATCCTACCTATAAGAATCCATAGAACTAGTAGGGAAGTGGTGACCAGTGCTCATCAGTTGCAGAGTGAAGGCTGGAAGGAGGCAGTAGTGGTTTACCTTTTTTGTTTGTCATAAACCGTAAACCCATCATTTTCCCTCTGTTGCCCCAGGGTCTGATGAGTGGTGCCCACGAATCTGGTTTTCTGTTGTTATTGATGCTAACCTTTCTTAGCACACCTTCTGGTCTACTATTTTGCTGACCTTGGATGGATTTTCCACTCTTGCATACACTCTCCCCCTTAGGTGGGGGGTACAAAGGGGTGTGAAGCTGAGGTAATCGCCCTTAGCTGCAGCGAGCTCCAAAGCTTCCTGATTGGCTGCTGTGAGCCTTACCTTATGGAAAGTGCCACCAAACTAAAAGTAGCCATTCGTTTTTTTCCAGTGGGCACAAAAAAATAACCACTGCCAAAGTATGTCTTCTTGGTGCTCGTTCTGCTCAGAAACTGACTGCTGACACTGTACTAGTTTTTGTTCAAACTTTCCTAAAGAGGAAACTCCCTTACAAATTGACCAGATAGGTCTGACATCTCCAGATGTGAACGAACTGTGAAAAGTGGGGTATGGTGGAAAGTCACTTAAAGATATTTAGGGGGCAGGGGCTAGAGAGATGGCTCAGAGGTTAAGAACACTGGTTGTTCTTGAAGAAGACTCAGGTTCAAATACCAGCACCCACATGGCAGCTAACTGTCCATAACTCCAGTTCCAGGGGATCCAATGGCCTCTTCTGTCTTCCGTGGGCATTGCATGACATGGGTTCACTTACCTACATGCCGGCAATACACTCTTATACATAAAATCTCTGTGAGTTCGAGGCCAGCCTGGTCTACATAGCAAGTTCCAGACCAGCTGGGGCTACAGGCAGACCCTGTCTCAAAAAGACCAAAAAAAAAAAAAAAAAAAAAAAAAAAAAAAAAAAAAAAAAAAATTAGGGACCTGAGAGATGGCTCAGTGCTCAAGATCGAGCATTTGCTGCTCTTCCAGAAGATCAGAATTCAGTTCCCAGCACCCACATCAGGCCACTTACAACTGTTTGTAACTCCAGCTCAGAGGGCACTCACAAACACTTGGCATATGCTCATCACACATGGGAATAAATAAATGAATGAAGGAATAAATAAAATAAGTGAATAAAAATTAAAAAATATTTTAAATTTATTTTTTGGTTTTTGAGACAGGGTCTCCCTGTAGTCCCAACTGGCCTAGAATTTTCTATATAAACCAGGCTGGCCTTGATCTCACAGAGATCTGCCTACCTCTGCCTCCTGAGTGCTGGGATTAAAGGCATGCACCACTAGGCTGGGCTATTTAAGAATGTTTTATGAGCATGTATGTTAGCGCATCCATGTTGTGCAATGCCCGTGGAGACCAGAAAAAGGTGTCAGATCCCCTGGAACTGGAGTTATAGATGGCTGCTAGCTGCTGTGTGGGTGCTGTGAACCTAATCCAGGTTCTCTGCAAGATCAGCCAGTGTTCTTAACCGCTGAACCATCTCTGCAGCCCTAATCTTTTTATTTTTTTGGTTGTTTTTGAGGCAAGGTCTCACTGTGTATCCCTGGCTGGCCTGGAACCCACTTTATAGACCAGGTTGGCTCTGCTGGCCTCTGCTTCCCAAGTACTGGGATCAAAAGCATGTGACACCATGCCTGGCTAAATTAATCTTTATTTTAACATATACTTATTTGTGTGTGCGTGTGTGTGTGCGCGTGTGTGCGTGTGCATTTGTGGCATAGTGTGTGCCTGAAGATCAGAGGACAACTTGTGGGAGTTGATTCTTTCTACTATGTGGGTCCTGAAGATTGAACTCAGGTTGTCAAGCTTGGCCGAAAACACCTTTACCCACTAAGCCATCTTATCAGCCCAGAAAGTCACTTTTTAAAGTCATTTTTTTTTGGAATCTGGAGTGATAGCTAGTTGATAAAGTGCTGCTATGCAGGCATGAGGACCTAAGTTCTGATTCCCAGCACCTACTTAAAAAGCCATGCATATCAGCAATTTGTGTCTATAATCCTAATACTGGGGTTCTGGAGACAGGCAGATCCCTGCAGCTCTCTGGCCAGTCTGCCTAGCCAAATTGTGAGATCCAGGTTCAGTGAGAGACCCTATGTCAAGAAAAAATGAAGTATTGAGTAACTGAGGAAGACACAGAAGATCAACTTCTGACCTCCACAAGCAAATGCATACTAACACACACACACACACACACACACACACACACACACTGTGCACATACACAGAATAAGATAACGTCACTTTTTCTGGATTTTCTTTTTCCTGTTTTCTTTCTACTCAAGGCCACAAAAGATGTATCTATCCTGGGACTTCAGGGTTCCCATGTGTTGGGACCGTAATGGGGGAAGTCGAAGGTGGACTGTGCTAGATCTCAATGGGCCTGGGTGGGGTGAGCGTCTGCAATAGTTCTTAAGCTTTCTGAGGTTGGCTTTACTCTCTGAAATAGAGGTGGCTCACAAGGTTGATGCTGAATGAATGTAGTGACATCCAGAAATCACCGGGGCTATGACTACCATGTGGTTGCCCTTCCATCCTCCCTGTTGTTTGGCCCTCATTTCTGCATCTCCTTAACTCTGAATTCTAGTGTGTAGAGTCCCAAGAATTGCCATCTATTGGGTCCTGTGAGGTGATGCCTGTGAGGTGGTATAGGTGCTGTGCCTAGCCTCATGAGCTTGTGATGGTAAGGCATGGTCCTAGAGCTCTTGGTCAAGCTACACTGTGGGCTGCTGAAAGGGAAGATGTGCTTTTGACTGAGGGTGGAAATAAACCCCCATCTTGAGCAGGTAGATCAGGGAAGATCCTTCCTTGTTAAGCTGTGAGATCTCAGGAAATTGAGAAAGGCTGTGTACAGCCCTGCCTGCAGAAGGTGGGATGGGTCCTTATTCCTGGATAGATGCACTTCGTGGGAGGCATTTGCCTCTGCTCTCTCCAGACCGCAGGATTAATGTGCTTCTTCCCCATTTCCTACTGTTCTCTCTGTCCCTACCCCCTCAACCTATCAGCAATCTGAGAAGTGTCCAGTGGAAGAAAAATCATCGCTACCAGTACAAACAAAAAGGCAAGATAGAAAAATCAGATGACAGGAAGCTGTGGAATTGGCTAGGATTATAACAGGATGACCACAGTGGGGCACAGGCTTTGGGATTTATTTTCTTTTAAACCAACAAGTTAGTGGTTGGTACTAATGAAGTATCTGGCATTTATTCTTGCTTTGGGGAGGAAGAAGGGACGAGTGCAGGGAAGTGGGGCAGGAGGGAGTTGGTTATTGAATTGCATTCATAGGTTTCCCCATCACTTGATCCCAGCCTAGAGCAGAGTGAGGAAGAGCACTTCTCAGCTGGACAGATAATGGGAACCAAACTTAGTGAGGATGTGGATCATGGTTCTATATCAGATGACATAGAGAAAAACAGTATCAGTTGGAACGATGGATGGATGGGAAGACCAGACAGATGTCACTTGGGTAATCAGGTGGGGCTAACAGAAGCAGAAGGAAGCTAGCCAGTAAGAAGATAGATCAGATCAGGGGTCTTCAAGTTCTGACCTCCCCTACACAATCTTCCTCAATAGGTCCTTAGTACAGAGGATAGTGTCTGACCGAGGGTTCTGTCAGGCTTCTGTAAGACAGAACTCTCTTGGTCTAGAATCACCTGTCTTCTTCTTCTTTCTTTTTCTGAATGGCTGAAGAAGTTATGCACATGTTCTTGTCTGGATATATTGTAGGATCCAGCTCGGCTGGACCAGGTGCACCTTGTCATCTTCAACCTTACACACACAGGTGATAAGATTACAGAAGGAGCACAGTTGACATGGATGGGAACACAGTCCTTGTTTATGGCCCTGTCTGCCAAGGCTTCTGTGGCCTGGTTTTACTGTGTTTCTGGAGTCTGCAGAAGCAGAGTGGGGTCTGGGTTTTCTATAGGAGCCTCTGGATCAAATGCTGAGCAACCCTCAGGTCAGCTCAGGGGGCCTACAGCACAGACTCAGTGGGAATCGTCCTTGGTT